TAATCCCATAATCCTAGCTACTCAGAAGACTGATTTCTGAGGACATCTAGGTTCAAAGGTAGTCCAGGAGGAAAAGTCCATGAGATCTTATTTATTTATTTATTGTCGGTCATGGGGCTTGAACTCTGGGCCTGGGCGCTGTCCCTCAGCTCTTCAGCTCAAGGCTAGCCACAGCACCACTTCCAACTTTTTCTGTTTATGTGGTGCTGAGGAATCAAACCCAGGGCCATGAGCATACAAGGTAAGCACTTTACCACTGAGCCACTTTCCCAGCCCTCCAAGACACTCTTATCTCCAATTAATCACCAAAAAGCTGGAAGTCCAGCTGTGGTTTAAATGGGAAAACGAGCCTTGAGCAAAAAAGCTAAAGGAGCTGGGCGCTGTTGGCTCCGGTCTATAATCCTAACTTCTCAGAAGGCTGACATCTAAGGATCTCGATTCAAAGCCAGCCCACCAGAAAAGTCCTTGTGAGACTCTTATCTCCAATTAACCACTCAAACTGGAAGTGACACTGTGGCTCCAGAGGTAAGGAGCTAGCCTTGAACACAAAGAGGCTCAGGCCCTGAGTTCAAGCTCCACAACCAACAACAACAAAAATCCCCCAAAACTAAAGGACAGTACTCAGGCCCTGAGTTCAAAACCCATACCAGCACAAAAATAAATACAAATTTAAAAACCCCACACATCAGCAAAAGCTCTTTTTCTATAATTGTTATGAAATTAAAGACCTTCTACTCCTCCCTACCATATCCCAATCTCTCTCTCTCTCTCTTCCTCTCTCCTTCCTTCCTTCTTTTTTTTTGGGGGGGGGGGGTCCAGTCATGGGGCCTGAACTCTGGGCCTGGGCGCTGCCCTCAGCTCTTCAGCTCAAGGCTAGTGCTCTACCCTTGAGCCACAGCGCCACTTCTGGCTTTTTTCTTTTTTGCTTATGTGGTGCTGAGGAATCAAACCCAGGGCCTCATGCATGCAAGGCAAGTGCTCTACCACTGAGCCACCTTCCCAACCCTTTCTTTCTTTCTTTCTTTCTTTTCTTTCTTTCCTTTCTTTCTTTTGCCAGACCTAGGGCTTGAACTCATGGCCTGGGTGCTGTCTCTGAGCTGCTTTGTGCTCAAGGCTAGCACTCTACCAACTGAGCCACAGTATCATTTCCTGCCTTTTCTGAGTAGTTTCTTGGAAATAAGAGTCTCACAGGGATTTTCCTGCTTGGTCTGTGTTAGGTTTTAAAAAGAGGTAGCCGAGTAAAAACTGCACCAGCATGCACGTGGTATTCAGGTAAGGGGGAGGTTTATTCAGTAGACCTACTGGGACCAGGCAAGGTTGGCACTCCACGCGGCTGAGAAAGAGAGAGGAAAGAGCTAGAGCAGAGAGAGAGCAGAGAGAGCTAGAAAAGAAGAGCAAGAGCTAGAAACGAACAGAGAGAGAAAGAGAGAGAGTCTGGGCCTGGGCTAGGCCTTATGTAGGGTATGGGCGGAGAAAGGTGTGGCCACATCAAATTCAGATGTGACCTCAGCGGATGCAGATGTGACCTCTTCCAGGTGTCCCAGTTGCCTAGGTAACGCAGGTACTGGGTGGAGACTTTGCTCCGAGGAGGGTGGAGTCTGCTCACCATCCAGGAGCGGACCTTACAGTCTGGCTTTGAACCATGACCCTCAGATCTCTGGCCCTGGACCTAGGATTACAGGCAGGCATGAGTTACCAGAATCAGGCTTCTGATATATTTTAGATCTAGCTTCCGCATATCAGAGAAAACATTGGCCCCTTGTCTCTCAGAGCTTGGCTTACCTCGCTTAACATGATTTGTTCTAGGTCCATCTGTTTCTCTGCAAATGACATATTATTCTAATGACTGTAAAATTCCATGTGGATTGGTACTACATTTTTTGATCCACTCATCCTTTTTTTTTTTTTGTCCGTCGTGGGGCTTGAATTCTGGGCCTGAACGCTGTCCCTCAGCTCTTTAGCTCAAGGCGAGCGCTCTACCACTTGAGCTATAGTGCCACTTCCAGTTTTCTGGTGGTTTATTGGAGATAAGAGTCTCAAGGACTTTCCTGCCTGGGCTAGCTTTGAACCGTGATCCTCAGATCTCAGCCTCCTGAGTAGCTAGGATTACAGGCATGAGCCACCGGTGCCCAGCTTTCTTTTTCTTTTTTTTGTCAGTACTGGGGCTTGAACTCAGGGCCTGGGCACTGCCCTGAGCTTTTTTTTGGGGTCTGGTCATAGGGCCTGAACTCGGCCTGGGCACTGTCCTTCAGCTCTTCAGCTCAAGGCTAGCACTCTACCACTTGAGCCACAGTGCCACTTCCAGCTTTTTTTCTTTTTGCTTATATGGTGCTGAGGAATGGAACGCAGGGCCTCAGGCATGCAAGGCAAGCGCTCTACCACTAAGTCACCTTCCCAGCCCCTTCTTTTGCTCAAGGGTAGCACTTGAGCCACAGTGCCACCTTCAGCTTTTTCTGTTTATGTGGTACTGAAGAATTGAACCCAGGACTTCATGCACGCTAGGAAAGCACTCTACCAATAAGCCACATTCCCAGCCCAATGTTTTCTAGTTTTTTTTGTGGGCTAATTGGAAATAAAGTGTCTCATGGGGGCTGAGCTGAAGAGCTGAGGGACAGTGCCCAGGCCCAGAGTTCAGGCCCCACAACCGAACCCAAAAAACAAACAAACAAACAAAAGAGTCTCATGGATTTGTTTGCCTCAAATCTTAATCTTCAGATCTCAGCCTCCTGAGCCAGAGGTGCCTGGGTGAACTTCAGTTTTGAGGTGCTGGGGACAAAACCCAGGGTCTCACATCTGCTATACATGCCCTGCACTATATCCCTAACCACTGAACCTCAGTCTGCTTGCTTGTTCAGTGCAAGCAATAAATATCACCTTCCAAAAGTCTTCATGAATGAAACAAACTGGAGATTTGAAAGGCCTAACATAGTGAGTAACCAACAATGTGAATTATTTTTTCTTCCTTCTTTGCCTTCTTTCACATTCCACAACGCCAATCTAGAAGGGACACAAGAACTTTCGTAGGGTAGGTTATAATCCTCATGGTCCATTCAAGTGACAGTGATCATCATGGAATCTGACCAAGCTAGTTGTATGGAATGGATGACCTTAGGGGTAAGTGGTGACAGAAAGCTAAGGCCAATACACAGACAGCACTAGAGAAGGGGGGGGGGAGGAGTGGGTCAAGGTAGTTATATGACCAGGTCATATCCAGTCCTTTCCAGGCAGTCACAATAGCAACCTCAAAACAAGCAGAATATATATATCTAATGTTAATATATCTTGTAAGTACTGTGTGTGGGAGAGTACTGAGCTAGGAAACTGGGTATATATACATTGTCTGGTTTGCATCTCATCAAGCTTCAGGTATTAATGTCAGAGGGTAAAGCTAAGTTCAGAGTCGGGCAATCAATTGTCAAGGTCATTCAGTTAGCAAGGGGGAAAGCTGAGATTCAAACCTAGGTATCCAAGTTGCAGACCAGTTCTGTTGCTCCCTGTAATGCTAGTATCTGAAAGAGAGTAGAGATGGAGATGGGTAGAGCTGAAGGTAGAGTAACCCACACTGTGGAGCTCCCTTCATCCTAAAGACAGAGGAGTAGGTCTTATTCCTAGGAAGACCTTTTTATCACTGTCTAGACTTCATCCTTCCATCTTTTTTATGCCCCTCAGCAAAGACCTAAGTTGAAGAAAAAGGGGTCTCATAAACAGTTTATAGGTCCCTCTACATCTGTAATCTCCCCCAGCCGGTCAAACCAGCTGTGCAGACTCAGAGCCTGAGTTAAGGAAAAGCCTTCTCAACCAATCCCCCTAAAGTAACAAAGGGAAGCCCCCCCCCTTATCCAATCTAGACCAGATGCTCTAGGGAGGGGTTATTAGACCAGGCTCTCAAGAGTCTAAACCAGGAGCCCACCCAGCTTGAGAAAGAGAAGCTAGAAGTTGGGGACCCCAAGCCTCCCTCTCCTGCAGGCCGCTCCCCTTTCTCTCCTCTCACTTATTAGGTATTTCCTGTTTATGAGGCAGCTAGGGCCAGGCATTTAGGAATGGTTGGGAATGAGCCCCTCCCCTCTAAGGAAATGGGTAGGAGAATCTTAGGAGTACCAGGAGGTTTAGGAGAGTTCTCCCTGGGGAAAGAATGCTTCCTATACAGATTCTAACACTGCCCCCCCTCCCCCCGCCCCCACCATGGTCTCTGTTCCTATAGGTAGGGGGCACTGGAGGCATCTGCTTTCTGTTCTCCGGTCTGTATCCAAAAGAGAGTAGAGAACTGTGGGTGAAAGAAGCAGGGTTGGAAGGAGAAAAGGGGGAAGGGAAAGCGTGTTTGGCAAGAAGTCCTGCGTATCTCTACACCCGCCCCCCCACTCCCACCCCGCGCCACCCCTAGTACAACCTACTGGTCATCTGTTGCCTCCTCCCCTTCCCCCACTCTCCCTGCAAAACGCAGTTTCAAGGCCTTAGGCTGGGAAGGGTTAGACTTGGCTAAATTAACCCTTTTAGCTCCAGTCCCAACTGGTTTAGCAAGCCAGAGGAGTGGTCTGAGTCTAGGGTTTGCTAGCTTTAGGATAAATGCTGCTTTTCCCAGAAAGCACAGGGTGGATGGAGCATGCAGCCGAGGTCTCCAGAGTAAGACTGGGGTCTCCACACACAGAGCTAGGGCATGGGGTCCACAGTCCTTTTTTTTCTCCGGGGGAGGGGGTGCTGGAGGGAGGGAGAGAGCGAGAGCGCAGACCTAATACCTCACGGCCCAGGCTCCTCCCGCTCCACCTCGCTAACCCCGAGTATCAGGGGCACAGACACTCAGTGGCAGATTTCGTCTCCCACCGCCTTCTCCTTCACCCTCCCATTTTGGGGTCTCTGCCTCAGTCTCTTTTTTTTTAATAGCTGCGTCACAGGCGAGCTGTTCTGCTGATGGCTCCCGGCCCCTCGCCGGCAGCCCGCCGCGCGGCGCACGCACGCACGCACGCACGCACGCACGCCGTCTCTCCCTGCGCGCTCTCCCGGGTCACTTTGACACGGTTCTCCCCTCCCACTAAGCAGGGCAATTAGCATATTAATAAAGCCCGGCCCTGCTCGGCGGGGGCTGGAGAGCCGGCGCCTGCTGGAGGGCGACCGCGGGCACGAGCAGCGGCGGCGGCGGCGGCGGCGGCAGCGGCGGCGGCGGGGCGGGTGTGCGGCGGCAGCGCACAGACACGCACGCGCACACGCGCGCACACGGACACACACTCCCGGGGACGCACACCCGCGCGCACACACGCAGAGGCAGCTCGCCTTCCTGCCTGGCTTCCTTCCTGTCTGCTCCGCGCCTGACAGGCCTCTCACTGCAGCCTGGGGCCACCCGAACCGGGCTGAGGCCGGGGACCAGGCCGGCGGTGAGGGTAGCGGGAGCCGCGGGCGGCGGCAGCAGCTCATGCCCGACCTGTCCCTGCAAGGGGCGGGCACCGTGACTCGGCTGGGCCCCCAGCGGCGTGCGATGTGAAGATGTCAGTGGGCTGTGCCTGTCCTGGTGAGTGGGGCGCGCGGCCGCCCGATCCCTCTCTCCCTCACCCTCATGAGCCCTTCACCTCTTGCTTGAGGAGAACTTATGTGGGGGGCGTCGAAGGCCGTGTGTGTGTGTGTGGGGGGGAGTCGGGAGCTGAAAGGGGTAAGCGGGGCCTCTTTTGAGGGAGGGTTTTCTCATCTGTGTAAATACGCAGCAGCCTTTTCCTTGGGGAGGGGGAGCTGAGAATCGCTTGTATGTTTTTTTGGGGGGTGGGGTGGGGTGGGGAAAAGCTAAATTGGGAGGGGTGCGGGGGGGGGGGGACTGAAATTCCCAGAATTCCAATGTGGTAGCCAATCAAAAGTGACTCTGGACTTTTGACCCCCCCCTCAGGTCATCATAGAGTTGTGATTGGCTGGTTTGGTTTGGCCCCCCCTCCCTTCTTTGCTGTCTACGGCCTCATATATACTAAGATCCCCACTCCACCCCACACCCCCGCCCCGCTTTTTCTGAGCACGCTGTTTGGGGGGAGGGATTGATTGTGGCCCATCCAATTCTTCCTGCCTGTTGCCAGGGAAGGTTGGCCCTCCTGAGGGGCAGAGGTATCCCTCGGGGGTGCCAGATAATTGGGCCTTTGGGTCTGGCATCTCTGCCTTAGTGGGAGGGGGAATCTGGCAGCCCCAGATAGACTAGGCAATAGTGAGATGGAGAGAGTTAAGGGAGTAATACTTGAAGACCTCCCCTCCCCCCCCAAGTGAGAACTTTCGGGAGGACCATTATATGTAGACCACTACCTCCTCCAAACAAATAATCAGCTCTTGTCAAAGGATGGCCTGTATGTTTTTTCTTATGGGAGGAGAGTAGGTCCTATTTCAACTGCTAGGAAGAAACAGAAAAGCCATGTGACAGAGGGTCTCAGAACACTAATACCATCTCTAAGACTCTAAGTCCCCAAATTGATCCTCTTGTCTGTTGAGAGTCAGCTTTCTCCAGGAAGTCAGTGTTCCTGAATCTAGCCTAGCGTAGACACTTTGCCTTTCTAGATGTCCTGTTCTCTGAGAGGCCAACTGGACCCTTCCCCTAACACACACACACACACACACACAAAATCACTATCACCAAGGGAAGCTGCCAGTGCAGAAGCTTCCTTGAAAATCATGTGACCCAGGCTGGGCTGGGCTGGGCTGGGCATACACTTCAAGTGCCTGCCAGTCTGACATTTAAGGGATATGGGGCCCAGTGGGAAGGCTAGGAGAGTCTAAGGATCCTGGAATAACATGATGAAGGAACCCCTGGCTCCTGATACATAAGTGTGAGGGAGAGGAGGAAAGGAAAGAGTTTGGTCCCATCATTCCTCCTATCAGCTTGTTGTGTATGTTTGTGTGTGTATTTTCTCTTTGTAATTGGTCCATGCTGGGTACTTTAGATCAGATCTGTCCATGCTGTAAGCCCACTTCCAGGTTCTGTCCCTCCATCACCATACACAGAAGGAGAGCAAAACCAAGGGCTGAGTCCTAATCTTGGTTCTTTATGAAGTGTAGAGAATGTGAATGGAGGGCATGTCAAGTTGTAGGTAGATGGGAGACTCACTCTGGGGTTGGAGACCTATTCTTATTCTCCAACCCCTGGGTCAAGTAGGGGGAAGAAGAAAGTTTTTCTACTCTATCTCTGTTAAGCTTGAGGACAATGAGAAGACCCAGACCCAGGGGTATATATATGTGTGGGGTGGGGGAACTTCGGTCAGTTCCTTTTGTGTGTTTGGTGGTCTGGCTGAAAGAAAAGGGACAAAGATAGCTTAGACTAAGGTATCTTTTTTTTGCCAAGAAGTCTTGTGGATTGATGCTGTGGAGGATGGATGGAGGTTAGACTTCAAGGAGAACCACCTAGGGAGGGGCTTGAGAGGTGGGGAATGATAGAAGCTATGGTGAGAGGCAACTAGAATTGCATGGGAGGGTGTGAGCTCATATTTAAAACACAAGGGCATCATATAGCAGTCTAGGCCCAAGGACCCCACTACCACCTTGAGCAGCCTTGGAGTGAGGGCCCAGACACCCTGGCAAGCAGCCTGCTGCCTGCCTGCCTGCCTGCCTGAGTCTCTCCTTTGTGCTCTGCTGTCTCCTGGCTCCTCCTCCTCCCCCAGCCCAGCAGAGACAGCACATGCCCCACACATGTGACTGAGGGAAGCCAGAACACACACAGATCCACACACATGCACACGCGGAAAGAGCACAAGATACACAGGCCACACTTAAGCTCCCTAGTGCTTCTGGGGTGGGAAATAGCTTCAGGGGTGAGATGGTCAGAAGCAGGGACAAGCCTTGCTAAGGGGTAACTCCCTGGGCAGGATGCTGAGGGGCCAGGGTTTGTGTGGGGTAGCATGTGGCTCAGAAGGGTTAAGGAAGGGAGGAGGGGGAGGGGGAGAGGCAGCAGTGGTGGCGGCTGGAAGCCAGGAGAGGAGGATGGCAGAGCGCCAGGCCAACGGGAGGCCGGGCACAGACAAAGGAAAGGGGGCAGGCACACTGGAGGCCTGGGTCAGGGGCCCCGGGCAGGGGGCAGTGCTGGTGCCTCATTCTGTGGTCTAGGGCTAGCTGCTATCTTTTGAGGCCCCCTACAGAAGGAATGAGTCCTCTCCTGCAAGTAGTCAACCACAGCTTTTCTCCCTCATCACCATTGTCATTTTCCCTCTCATACACACCAGTTTTAGGGCCTTTTAAGTCAGACTTGCTCCCTTTATCTGGATTGTTCCTGCCTTGAGCACAAGGGGAATTGGGTCAGAGCAGGAGCAGACTTGCTACAGAAAGGGAATGATATTTGAATGATAGGCCAGAGCGTTGATACATCTTGTTGTTTAAGGGTCCTCCTTCACACAGTGAAGGGGAAGGCCCCTAATAACACCTATCTGGCTAGATACACTAGATGGGGTTCTGAGCTCTCAGCATTGGGCAGAAGCCAGAAGAATCATACTACTTCACCATCCCCATGTAGACAGTCATTTGAGGCTTGGAGGGGGCAGGGAATAAGAATTGCTGAGATGCCCCAGGGCTAGGGTTGTATAAACTAGGCTTAGAAGTCTAGGGTTCAAACCTCAGGCCTTCTTGGCTATGATCTTTTCAAGTTAGGATATTTGACCACGTATGTGTGTCTGGGTATAAGCTGAAAGTACTGCTTGATCTACGATTTGGAAAGTATAAGGAAAAAATGACGGGCGGGGAATGTAGTTTAGTGGTAGAGTGCTTGCCTAGCACACATGAAGCCCTGGGTTCAATTCCTCAGTACCACATACACAGAAAAAGCTGAAAGTGGCACTGTGGCTCAAGTGGTAGAGTGCTAGCCTTGAGCAAAAGAAGCTCAGGGACAGTGCCCAGGCCCTGAGTTCAAGCCCCAGGACTGCTTCTCCCCCCTCCCTCCCCCCCAAAAAAAAACGGAATTGCCTTGTTAGTGGAGGAAGAGTATGTGCCAATCCAGAGTTGGGCTGCAAATTTTCTAGGCAGTAGGATTATCTTATATCCTGGTGGTAGGCTGTATGTTGCAAGGTCTGGCCAGATATCATAGACGTCAATGTTCAGGAAAGCTGGGGTGTATTATGTGGAGGTGATAAGGAATTGTGCAGGTGTCAGGGAGACTAGTGTGTGGGATGAGTCTGTAACAAATGACCAGGTTATATGGATAGTATAGCCATTTTTTGGTGTGAGTATTGGAGTCAGGGTGCATATATGTATTCCAGCTCCCAGTGTGTATGGGAATCAAGGTTTGACACAGACTTTGTTATATGTGTATCTGTGTGTCCAGGGTTTGAGTTTATTGAGGGTTTGAAGTATATCACAGGCTGAAATGTGTATTTATGGTGATTTACGTAAAAGTAAGAGATGTTATTTATGTGTGGATAATGCTCAAACAGCCAGATGAAGGTTTTCTTTTTTTGTTATTGTTATGTTTTGGGTGGTGGTATTGGGAGTTGAACTCAGGCCTTAAACTCTCCCTTGGCTTTTTCTGCTCAAAGCTGGTGCTCTACCACTTGAGCCACATACCTCTACTTCCAAATTGTTTCTGGTTAACTGGAGCTAAGAGTCTCGGATTTTTCTTCTTGGGCTGCTTGGAATTGTAATCCTCAGATCTCAGCCTCTTGAATAGATAGTATTACAGGTGTGAGCTACCAGTAACCCGCTACTATTGCACAGCCAACCAATGTGTATGTCATATGAAATCCTGTTCTTGGGATTACATGTGAATATAGTTGGAAGGAGGTAGTAGAGGAGACACTTAAATTGCAAAGAAGAATGAAAGTAGCACCCCTCCCAGAGAGAGAGAGAGAGAAAAAAAGAGAGAGTGAGTTTGCCTTCACGAGTGCCAGTACACCTTCCCTATCTTTTCTTTTCTCTTTTGATGTGGGCCTGAATGGGCCTGGGCGCTGTCCCTCAGCTCTTCAGCTCAAGGTTAGTGCTCTACCACTTGAGCCATAGCGCCACTTCCGGCTTTTTTTGCTTATGTGGTGCTGAGGAATTGAACCCAGCGCCTCATGCATGCAAGGCAAACACTCTACCACTGAGCCACCTTTCCAGCCCTCTTTTTTTGCTTGCTTGCTTTTTTTTTTTTTGTCAGTCGTGGGGCCTGAAATCTGGGCTTGGGCCCTGTCCCTAAGCTCTTCAGCTCAACGTAAACACTCTACCACTTGAGCCACAGCACCAATTCTGGCTTTTTCTGCTTATGTGGTGCTGAGGAATCCAACCCAGGGCCTCATGCATATGAGTGAGGCAAGCACTCTACCACTGAGCCACCTTCCCAGTCCCCCGCCCCATTTTTTTATGTTGTGGGGCTTGAACTCTGGGCCTGGGTGCTGTCCCTGAGCTCTTCAGCACAAAGCTAGTGCTCTACCACTTGAGCCACAGAGCCACTTCTGGTTTTCTGAGTGGTTTTATTAGAGATAAGAATCTCATGAACTTTCCTGCCCCAGCTGGTGATCCTCAGATCTCAGCCTCCTGAGTAGCTTGGATATCAGGCCTGAGCCTGGCTCCGTGTTTGTGTGTGTG